TCTCAAAATCACAAGTCTGCAGCCAGGGGAGGAGGACAGATTGGTTTGGCTCTGTGGGAAAAATGGAAAGCACTCAGTGGCTGCCTCATATGATTATCTGGTGAATGAGAAATAGAAACAGCTTGATATAGCAGAACCAAGTAAAGGGCAAGCTGAAGTCATGAAGATGAGGAAGAGGATGTGGAAACTGAATATCAAAGGGAAGATTAAGCACTTCCTTTGGAAGTGTGTGAATAACATTTTGCCAGTCAACACTTGCATTGCAAAGAGGTAAATTCATATTGATGCCAGATGCCAACTATGTGGAGAGGAGCCTGAAACAGTCTACCACATGTTCTTCACTTGTCCTAAGACCATATTGATCTGGAAGCTGGCACCCATTCAATGGGATGGCTTAGATCTCCATGCTTAAAGTTTTTCTCATTGGTGGACCAACTTATGCTCTATCCCTATGACAGCAAACAATGAGGCTAGAATACAGCTCACAGCTTACTTACTTTGGTGGATTTGGAAAGCAAGGAACTTGTGGGTTTTCCAAGGCTTATGGAGAGCAGAGCTGACTGTGGTGAATGTAGCTGTGGAAGAGTGGCTGGAATTAATCAATGTGCAGAGCCTTAGAGTCTGATATAGCTGGTTGGGTTGTTCTGCTCAGTTGTTAATAGTTTTGTGTTTTTTTGCTTTTTGCTGGGTTGTTTAGTCTAGGCCTGTTTTGAGTTGCTAGTGCCTTTTGCTGTAGTAGTTTTTGTGGCAGTAGTGCTGGTTAGTGGTAGTCCAGCTTGGCTAGGGTGTGTGCCAGTGGTCAAGCTGTTTTTGCTTTTGATTAGATAGGATCAAGTCCATGGGTTCTATGTTGGAATATGCCATGGATTTTGATCCCTTCTATTGGTTGTTATTTTTAACAGATTTGTTCTGCCAGGCTTGGCTGGTTTTTGGGCTATTTAGCCCCACCTCATGTACAAATGTTTGGAGTATAAAACCTATCGTTTCGAAAAAAAAAAGAAAAAGAAAATAGAAGATTTCCCTAAATTCACTTTCTTCCCAGTGAAATCTTGATACTTCTTCAGCACTTTATGCAATATTTGAGCATGTCTAGCATCAGCATAACATAACACCAGAGTATCGTCAGCAAACATCAAATGGGATATAGAGGGACTCTGCTTGGCAATTTTCAACCCTTTAAACCCTCTCTGTCTAACCTCATTATAGATCAGTCTAGAAAAGACCTCTGAAATCAGAATGAAGAGGTAGGGGGACAAAGGATCCCACTGCCTGATGCCTCTAGTAGCACTAACATACCCTCACATCTCACCACATAAGTTAAAAGAAAATGATGTAGAAGAGATACAAGCCCACACCCATTCCACAAGTTTGACATGAAAACCCATCCTCAACAAGACCTTCCTCACACAAACCCACTCAATCCTATCATAGGCTTTTTCCATATGTAACTTCACCAACATAAAACCCTTTTTCCCAGACCTCTGCCTATTCAAAAAGTGAACGGCCTCCTAAGCAATCACCACATTATCCATCAATTGCCTACCAGTAATGAAGGCATCCTAGTTATCACTCACACACACAAAAAGGCAAGGCTTAATCCTAACAGCCAAAATCTTGGCTATGACTCTATAAGCCACCCCACACAAACTAATAGGCCTATACTACTTCAAAGTAGAAGGGTTTAAGCATTTTGGAATCAAAGAGATTAAAGTATGGTTCCAACTACTCAGAAGTCTACCAGATTCAAAAAAACTACCCACAGCCAGACAAAAATCTTTACAAATGACATCCCAGAATTTCTGAAAAAAGATAGGACTCATACCGTCCTGCCCAGGAGCTTTCCCAGGGTCCAAACTGAACAATGCAGATTTGATCTCCTCATATGTAACTGGAGAAACGAGATTTGTGTTCATGTCTGCAGTAATAGCTTCAGGGATAAGATGCAAGATGTCTGCTTCCCCACTGGATCCTTCAGAGCAAAAGAGGTTCTCATAGTAGCTGCAAATATGATCCTGAATCTCCTCCTTTGTGCTCAACACATTGTTGTCATCATCCACCAGATTTGCAATGGTATTCTGCCTCCTTCTCTGCATTGTAACAGCATGGAAGTACTTAGTGTTAGAATCACCCTCTTTGATCCACTAAATTCTAGCCTTCTGGGCCCAAAACTCTTCCTTAGTTATCCTATCCAAAGCTCTCCTCAATCTCTCCCACTCTCCCCAATCCCTATCCTTGTCCATTATACTCATCACTTCCAGTTTCTTTGTCACCTCCAGCTTCTCTTGTTTCTGATCTCTCCTGAAAGAGGCACTCCATTTTAGTAAAGAGACTCTAGCTTATTTAATTCTCTCAGACACTTGGTACATTGGAGTCCATGTTTGCTCTTTACCCCAGCCTTCTTGAACAGCTTCTAGCACACCTGCTCTCTTCAGCCATCTACTATCAAAGTAGAACCTCTTAGCCTTAAACCCCATCACCTCTGGATCATCATTGAGATATAACATTCTATGGTCTGAGGCATTTCTAAAGATATTCTCCACCTGAGCATTTTGATGAGAGGCCAACCAACCAAAGGATGCAAAAATTTTATCAATTTTTTCCTCTATAAACCCCTCTTCTCTTCTGTTATTTCCCCATGTAAAATTATGCCCTAATAATTGCATCTCCCGCATCCCCATTCTTGATATAAAATCATTAAAACCCCTAAATTCCCCTTCAGCCTTCCTCTTACCCCCTCTCTTCTCACTATGGTCGCAAATTTCCTTCCAATCCCCCCTAAAAGCCACTTACTACCTCACTTCCCTTTAGCCCCTTCTAAAAAACTCCACTGGTTCACCCTCTCTCTCCTATCTGAACTAGCATAAACAAAAGTAATCCACAGGGTTCCCTCCTCTCCAACACCTTCCACCTCCATCTCTAAACAAAAATTAGTACTTAAAATTTGTTTAACCACCACATCCCTGCTCCAAAGAACTAAAAGCCCCCCACTCAAACCCTGAGGATCAATAGCAAACCATCTCCCTTTATAACCTATTTTATTACATACAGCCTTAACAAATTGATTTTGTCTTTTAGTTTCAGAAATAAAGACAAAATGTGGATGGTGGAGTCTAAAAGACTCCATAATTTGTGAAACTGTAGAGGGTCCACCCAACCCTCTATAGTTCCACATCATAAGCTTCATTGATCCACAGGGGGCCACTCAACGCTGGCCACCCCCACCTCTACTTCAAACAGATTGTTCTTCATCTCTTACCATTTCTCTCCCTAAACTCTGCATCTCCCTCTTCAATGTCCTCAAGGATCCCCCCTCTTTTCCTCCTCTTAGACAAATTATTCCCTTGAGCATCCCCCTCATTCTGTTTACTACTACTCATATTCCCTACACCCTTGGTTCTTCTTTTCCAACCTCTCCTCTTCAGCCCACTCCCCTGACTATCCTCTCCCACTTCTTCTTGTAAGTCCCCCTTTTCATTCTGTAACTCCACGTGCTCACACTGGTTCAAAGGAACTTCCCTACATTTCATCTCAGCTGTCACCACTTTTTTATTCTTCTGCACCGCTTCTTCTTCACATACAGGTAATGAGAACGGCACCATTTCTAATTGTCTTGCCTCTACATCAACACCCACTAGATCCTCCTCCCCTTCCTCACTAACAACAACCACCATATTTATCTCCTTACCTCCCTGATTATTAGCCTCACTCCCAACTGATTTAGGATCCCTGCGGTTGACTCTAGTTTGTAACTAGGAGAGCCTGTAGTTTGACTCCCATGACTTCCAGAAAAGTAAGGCCTGAAGCCCGGAGAGCCATCAAATGCTCGTAACCAGTCACCATATTGCCCTTCATGCAGCTTTCCATTGTCTATGTCAACACCCCTCTTACTACAAGTTCTTTCCAAGTGCCCGATTAGTCCACAATAAAAACACGCATTGAGCAACCTCTCATATTGGAAGATGGCCCTAACCCGGTTCTCACGCAGCTGCAAACACGCCTCAAATGCACATCTCGGCCGTCGGGTAGCTGCTCACCATTTAAAAGTCTATATCCGTGGTTCCAGAAATGGAATTGCTATTGTCGATTCAGGGATCTAATAGCAAAGAAATATTTGCTGCAGCTTGGCTCTTCTGGATGAGCTTTTGTGTTTCCATGGGGAAGCAGATCAGCTTCTCTTCCGTATTCCTCAGCTCGACTTTCTGTTGCCGAAGCTGTCTTTCAGCCCGGCACTTTCAGGCTTCCTTGAGTCAGCTCGGTAGCTAGTCTAGTCAATACCCCTTATTCTCTGCCGGGGGTTGCTCCCTCTTCGCTTTCCAGAACAAGGAACTCTTTGGCTAACAAAGATCTCCAGACTTCAGCGGCTAACTTCGGTCGTTCAGTCGAGGAACTATTCGCTTTCCGGCTTACTGCCTGTTTCGCTTTATAGCTAGTACTTCCCTTCACTGTTTAGCAAATGGTTGATTTGTTTTCAGAAAAACATGCAGAAAGAATCCAAATCAAAAGAATTGCTTAACCACCCTTGGCAAAGATTTTGTCACATCAATCACTGCCAATAAGCGAAGAAAACTACCCCGCTCCCCACCTGCTTTCACTACATTCACATTTTTGACATGTTTGAACACCTTTCCCACTTTCAGCCCCACATCCGAACATAGCCAGTTAATAGGAATATCATTAACTTGAACCCACATCTTCAATTCCGAGAACTTCACATGATTTTCATTCAAGCCCTCCACCCACTCAGCTAAAATGAGATATTGATTATCAAAAACCTATTTCACCCCCGCCAGCACCTTCTGTTTATCTGCTATGTTTCCAAAGGAAAATTGGAAGAAGTTCGTCTTCAATTCTTTAACTTCCATTGGACTTTGAATCTGCCATATCGCTCCCATTGCTCTCCTAATCTCAAACAAACTCACTTTCCTATCGCTAATAATCTTACCAAACAGACTTTTGTGACATTCCTCTGCACTAATTTTGATATCATCATCCTTTAAAGCAATGATCGTATTCTCGGATTCAGACAAATCAATATTGCTCAGCCGACTACCCAAATCCTCAGTACCACCCATCGCATTAGAGGATCCTGTCACATCAAACTCCATGGACCACAACTATAAGCACCACCCACTGCTGGAGAAACACACCCGACAAAATGCCCAATTTGCAAGCCCAGCCCTAACCCTAGCCCCAAATTAAGAAATAGAAAGAACAGAAACGAGCCCTCACACAGACGCAACCCTAGTTGGAATCTACCCCCTCCCCGAGAATCAAAACACTCTTCTCAAAGAGAATCAACACTCCCCTCAAAGAGAATCGGACGCTCCCCTACGAGAGAATTTGTGATGAAAAAAAGTAAAGCTTTAATTAAGTTCCAAAATAAATGTAATTGTTATATGATATGATTTGGTCAAATCAAAAGCATATATCATCTTGATCCTTGAAATTTTCTTTGCGATTGTAGATCACCTAAATCTACAATATTAAATCACAATTAAACGTTACGTAATTTATAACAAAAAAAAAAAATTGTAAGTAAACAATGTTTTCTCTAAATAATCATTCCAAATTGTAGAGCAACAAAATCAATAGTATTTAGTCACAAATTAAATCCTAAAATATTTATAGCAAAACACCTTAATTATTGAGTTTTTTTTTTTTTTTTTTTTTTTTT